TTTATGTTAGGAGCAGCCATTTTTATTCTCTGAGATGTAGATATGCAATCTGGTGGTTAGATCAGCTCTTTAGTCAACCTGTTGATGTACCTGGCTTCTCTGAAACTCCAGTGTAACACTGAGAGCAAAGTCCATTTTGGCAACATCTTCAGTGAGTCATATGCTAAATAATAACTTGTATTAGAATTATCAAAAATCAAGTATTTAAGGGTTTTTTTTATTCTTCCTCTCATTGCATATCTTTTTACTGAAAAATGGTTTTCAATTTTTAAGTTTCAAATATGATTAATTTTTGTTAATGTAAATTTGATTTGTTTGAAAAGTTAAAAGAAAAAAATTAATTTAAATCTCTCTAATTAAATTTTCAATCTAATTGAACTATACCAAACAGCCTTTCATCTTTTTTCTGTGATCTTTTTTTCTTTGATTGCCTTAAGATGAAGTTGGCTGCTTGCTTGAGTGGCCTCCTGTCTTGAGTTGAATGTGACCTGCTGCCTTAATATATTTAAGTATTTCCCACGGTGATCAAAGATTTCAAATGTTGATTTTCTAGATTTTTTTTTTGCCTTCTCTACTTATATATAACAATCTTTTCACCCAAATTTTATCCTAGTAAGCTGGGTTTAGTAAATTAGATGAAATTTTTTCTTTGTATGTCAGATAAATTTAAATATTTCACTTTTGAAAAATGACAACATAAAGAAATTAGTCATGTTTTTAAATTCACTTAAATCCAGTTTTTAAATCTTATTGAATTAAATAGCTTTCTCATTAGATAATCTTAAAATATATGAAAACATCAGCCAATTAATTAAAAATGTAAATCCAAGGGACATGTATTAGTTATCAATAGCAATTAAAATGACTGGATTTATTTCATATTTAATTATTAATTTTAAATGCTGGCTTTCTCCTCCCTTCTGATTTTTTGATTGTCAAGAATAACTAGTGACAGGTGAGATTGATTCTGTTGAAGTAATAATTGAATAGCTTTAACTTAGGGGATGATTTTCTTTTTTTTATAAAAAAGAAAAAAAAATGTTGACAAGAAATTGACCCAGCAAAATAAGCAGTTGTCAGAAAGTAAAGGAGCAAAATTCTTTACTTTTTTCTAAATTTAATCTGTTCTCTTGATGCCTTTCAAAAGCTAAACAAGGTTTTAAGAGACAGAAAAAATAAATACTTATTTAATAAAAGTCTTTATATACAAAAATCCAGTTTCCAGTTCATCCTTTTTGCAAGAACTATAAATAAATCACAGGGCAAGACACTTCAAAAAGTTGGAATTTGGCTCCCAAAAGAAATATTTACACATGCCCATTTATATGTTGTATACTCAAGAGTAAGAAATCCTAAGAATTTATTCTTTGCTGTTAAAAAGGAAAAAAATAAATTTTCTTAAAAAAAATATTGTTTACCACAAGGTCCTATGGAATTAAAGAAATTATTAAACCATGAAGTAGGGTTTTTGTCAAAGTATTTTTCCAAACAAATCAGCTTATCCAAATTTTGATTGGTTTGCAAAATTTGAATGAAATGTAGAGTTTCTATATCTTGGCAAAAAATGTTAGCAATAAATTCAACAATACTAAAAATACTGTGAGGATTTTAGCACACATCAGCATGTTGCGAAAAAATTCTAGTAATAAAAAAGTCAATAAAACATGAACATTACTTTGATTTCCAAATAATGACCTAATTGTTTGCATAAATTTTTGCTTCATCTGTATATAGGCTGATTTTGAATGCTGCTTTTTTTGAATGGCCCCATTTCTGAATGACAATCTTTGGACATTTTCTTGACCAATGAGGCATCTACCAGCTGAGAGACTTTTATCATTGACTCCAGTGCTATTTGATCCCATTCATTTGCGTTTGATATTGCACTCATTAATAAGGTGCATTTTATGGTTAGCTACCAGTCAGTTTGTTTTTGAGACACAATCTCTAGAAAGATGGTCATTCAAAAGTAACAAACTCTTCTTTGTGAGACATGGCTGTGTTCCACTAGATACCCAGTATTCTACTGTCATGGAAAAAAGGATGATGATTATGCTTTTTTGTTAACAGAATTTGATCAAAACTGATTATCATTAGATCTTAATTTTTCCTTTATGATAAATATAAAGAAAATAAAGTGTGGTATTGTACAGTAGAAAAAATCCAAGAGTTCACAAAAGAATCTAGTTTCACATTAAATACTGTAGCAATTGTTAAGACTTACATTTAGCAGAACACAAGAGGAAAATAACAAGCTGAATTATTACTTTAATCATAGGGACATTATACTTAACTAATCCTTTAAAAATAGCAAAGCTTTCGCAACAAATTTACAGTGAAAAAAGAAACATTTTTACCTTCCCCCACTTAATGTTTCATTATAATTTTCCAGTCTATATCATCAAGCAATAAACAAAATTTTGATGCTATCAAGCTCTCATAAAAATTCCCCTTACACAAATATGACTAAATTCTGATTGGCTAAACTGTGTAGAGAAAACAAGAGTGATAAGAAATAGAAAATTGTATGGAAATCAAGTGTAGTGTAAAAAAATTACTCTTGAGTTAATTTCCTGAATAGATTGATGACTCCACTACAAACAATTCATTTTTTCAATTATTTCCACCTAAGATATTCTTATCCCAATGTTCTAATTTAATATTCTCAAGAGGTTCAAAACCTGGATAATTCCAGAACATGTCTTCTGAAATATCCTCTTAGTTTTTATGAAGATGACTTTGCATTGCACGCTTAACTTTTAGATACATTTTTTCTTATTTTCTTAATGAGATGATCATGTATAGTGGGAATATTTTGTATGTTAAATAATAAAACTAAATTTTTCCCAAAGAAATGAATGAAAATTTATTGTACTAAGCTACACACCCTAGTAAAATCAACTACTCTCTTACCTGTTTGCACTTCTCCCCAAAATTTGATTTTGATTGGTTAAAGTATTGCTATTTTAGAGGGTGTGATGGATGGGCTAACAGAAGTCACAGAATTTTATATATAGACAGATTATTTTTAGTTGGTACACATGTTTGAGTTTACTTTCACTGTTTAAAATAACAGGAATGTCATGTCAACTTAAGAAATTAAGAAGTCCTCACTAAAAAAAAAACAAATTCTTCCTGATAGGAATTGAACTTGTTTTCTTTTTTCCATCTTTAACTTCTCACTGATCTATTTGCTATTTCCCAAAGAAAAGTGTTCAGACGAACTGCATTCTTTAGTTCCAGTTCTAACCTTCATGTCTAAGACCCACCATGCCATACACATTACAGAGAACCACCCTTATTTCCTTTATATTCTATTAGTGAGATGTAAGTTCTACTCGAACATCCTCTTCCCATGAACCACTGCTTTTTGGAACTGACTCCCAAGAAGATGTTTCTTCAATCACTACAATCTTAACCTGTTCAAATCTAGGGTCAACCGATATCTTTTCCACATATCCCCATAAACTGTGTGTTTTACTCTGTAACCTTCTACCTCGAATGGCTCTTGGGCCTTGTACAGGGTGAACATAATTGTAAAAAACAAAAAAATCCTGTAACTAGCAATTTTCTATTTTTCTCCAAATGGATCAGTACAGCCAGGCAACAATGCTATAACAATGCAGGAGTAAAAACATTTGATTACATTCCAGCAAAAGTTCATCTGCAGAACAAGAAGTACCACTTATAATAGACAGTGAACAGACCTGTTCATAAACACACACACACACACACACACATATCTATCTAATAAATTTTGTACAATGATTTTATTTCTCGCTACAGACTTTTGAAGTTAATCATGATAGGCCATTTATATCTCAATTTGTTTTATTTTCTTGTGTCCATTTGGTGTAAATATCTTCCAGCAGCAAAGAATTTTTTGATAAAGTCTTGGTGCTATGTATGTTTAGTTTCTACTCTTAGATGGAGAACCACTTTCCTCCCTCCTCCCCTTGCTGGTCTGGCCCTTGTAATCACGAAATCTAATTCTCTGCCTCTGAAATTTAATGATTGCTAAGATAAAAACTCTACTGCACAGATCATCTTACTGCAAAGATTTTTGGCTAATTTAACCAAGTCCTTTAGAATTTAATCCCCAAAAATGCACAGCAACATATTCCCTTACTTGCTATCTGCACTTTTTATTTATTTATATATATATATATATATATATGCATCTATTTCTCTTAGATGTATATAAGCATAATCCCTACACATTTAAATGTTTACAATCAATATATATATAATTTTTCATATGATCCAGGCATGTTACAAATTTCTCTTTCTTCATTTATATTCATAATTTTATGTACCATTTGTCATCATTTATCTTCTCACACACACACATATATATATATATATATATATATATATATATATATATATATACACACACACATATGATCTGCAACCTAAAAGTTATGGGAAATTTGAATGGTGCATGCTATGAAAATGTAGTGCAGATTTTTCCTGTGTGTTATCTCACAAGGGAACTACTTCAAAGGTTATGATGAAAATTAGGTGTTAGGGTAAGTAAAAATGTTTCTTTAATGATTACATTTCCAAAACATTTTGCTGGTACATCATGTGTGTAGATTTGTTTATGCATTTAAGAATCACTCTGTGAGGATCAAACTCACTACTCAGTTGTGAGCAAGATAAGTTTGTTAACCATTTCACCATGCGTATATATAATATGCACACACACACACAAAGGATATATTATAGTTGATCTTTCTAATCTACTTTTTGCTTTTCATCTCCTCTTCTACAGGCAATTATCCCCTCTTTCTCTTCTCATTTTTCCTGAAGAATTCTGTCCCATTGGGAAAACTTTCATCTCTTTATCAGTGAATCCTAATGCACAGAGTGAGGCAAATTTATTTATTTATTTTAACCAAATTCCATTTCTTGGAGATCTGTTAAAATAATAAGCATCACTCACTCTCAATTTTTCTATTTTTCATCCTTTCTCATTCTTTTCATTATTCCCTGTTATGTTTAGTAAATCTCTCGTTTCTCTCTCTTTTTTATCAGTCTCTCTTCTTTTCTCTCTCTCTTTATCAGACTCTTCTATCTGTTTATCAGTTGCTTCTTCTGTTTCTCTCTCCCTTTTTATGATTCATTATTCTTTTCCCTCTATCAGAGTTGCATCTTCCTCTCTCCCTCTATCAGAGTTGCATCTTCCTCTCTCCCTCTATCAGAGTTGCATCTTCCTCTCTCCCTCTATCAGAGTTGCATCTTCCTCTCTCCCTCTATCAGAGTTGCATCTTCTCTCTCCTCTATCAGAGTTGCATCTTCCTCTCTCCCTCTATCAGAGTTGCATCTTCCTCTCTCCCTCTATCAGAGTTGCATCTTCCTCTCTCCCTCTATCAGAGTTGCATCTTCCTCTCTCCCTCTATCAGAGTTGCATCTTCCTCTCTCCCTCTATCAGAGTTGCATCTTCCTCTCCCTCTATCAGAGTTGCATCTTCCTCTCTCCCTCATCAGAGTTGCATCTTCCTCTCTCCCTCTATCAGAGTTGCATCTTCCTCTCTCCCTCTATCAGAGTTGCATCTTCCTCTCTCCCTCTATCAGAGTTGCATCTTCCTCTCTCCCTCTATCAGAGTTGCATCTTCCTCTCTCCCTCTATCAGAGTTGCATCTTCCTCTCTCCCTCTATCAGAGTTGCATCTTCCTCTCTCCCTCTATCAGAGTTGCATCTTCCTCTCTCCCTCTATCAGAGTTGCATCTTCCTCTCTCCCCATCAGAGTTGCATCTTCCTCTCTCCCTCTATCAGAGTTGCATCTTCCTCTCTCCCTCTATCAGAGTTGCATCTTCCTCTCTCCCTCTATCAGAGTTGCATCTTCCTCTCTCCCTCTATCAGAGTTGCATCTTCCTCTCTCCCCCCTCTCCCTCTCTCCATCTCTCTCCCCCTCTCCCTCTCCCCCCCTCTCCCCCCCCCTCTCCCCCTCTCCCCCCTCTCTCCCCCCTCCCTCTCTCCCCCACTCTCCCCCCCCTCCCCTCTCTCCCCTCTGTTTTCAATCTCTTTCCTTTCTGTTTTTCTTTTTCTCTCTCCCTCTTGCATTTCTCTTACTTTTCTTCTCTCTCCTCCTTGAGCTGACATGACATTTAAAGTCATACACTTTGATATATTTTATATATGCTAATCTGATATTATTTTCTTCCCAGCAAATAAAATATCTGAACAAATTTGGTAAAATGCAGATTTGTTTCTTTTTCAATTTTCTCTTTTTTTCCATAGCTAGAAGCAAGGAGTCAGAAAGTTACATAATCCATCTTTGTTCATAACATCCCTCCCTCATGATCAGAATGAGTTATGCAAAGTTCACTCATTGCAGTGACTGACATAAACATTTGGACAGTGTTCTCTTGTCCATGGAGTTTAAGTTTGAACTGGTCTTTGGTTGATATCTCTTCTCCCCCTCCCCCACAAGTGTATCCCTTTCATTTTATGTATATTGGCTTTAATGCCACTCTCTGTCTACAAGATTTTCTCTTTCTTTACATCTTTGTTTTTAAAAAAGTAAATAATATTAAGATTATTCCTTCTGCTGTGAGTGTTATTTATTAGAATGTAAACACATTCAAAGAAAAAAATATGCCTCTTTATTTTAATCTTAATAAAACCTATGAAATTGAAAAAGTGACTGCACATACCAAAGTTATTAAGTTTAGAATTTCTCCATTTTGTTAGTGTTTTGTGAGTTTGAGGATTAAATTCAGAGATTTCATTTCTAAATTGTTTTTAACAAAGATAGTAGAATATGTTGAACTTTCAAGGAAAAGATTCAGAATGTTTTATAGGCAATTAACATCCAATAAACTAAGTTGTAGCCTTGATATAAATTGAAATTGCATCCAATATATTGTATATTTTAACAGTCTTCTTGCTATTTCATTATTTGAGGCTCACTGGTAGACTAAAGGATTTTAAGAATTCTTAAGTTGATTCCAAATAAACAAAATATATTATGGAAAACTTAGGTAAAGGGAAATATATTTCTCATGTAGCTCAACTCTGCTCTCATATTTCTAAAATCTCTTTATGGTCAAGTTTCATGGTTGAGTGGACTAACACATACCTAACTTGAAGGTGATTCTCCGAATATAATAGGAGTGCAGTTATATTGGAAAAACCATTTTCAAGTTAGATATGACATAGGTAAATTTTCTATTAAGATTTTCAATTACACAGGTGGTAGATATCAATTATACTGTCTTTTTGATATTTAGAAGAAAAACTAATGTTTATTGTATGAATAGCCATTTGATACTGTATTGCTATCAGATAGGGATTTTTTTTTTGTGACAGAAACACTTCTTTTAGTCCTGTCTTAGCCAAAGGTATCTAACTTTAGAGTTTACAATGGCTTCTAAAATTCTTATCAATAAAATGTGTTAACTGCTCCTTTCACACTTTCCATACATGGCTTTATTATGATTCAATGTAGTATTTTGAACATGCTAGGTCATAAATGTTATATTATAAGTATTTTATTTCTTGGGTCAGATATTTATAACTTTAGTCAATTGTGTCTCACATACATACCCAATGTTTATGAAAAAGCATATGTCATGAATCTAAAAAATGACATAACATGAACTGATAGACAGAGACTACATACTATGAAAAAAAAACACACACACACACACACAATGTGTGAAGAGTAAATATTTGAAAATCTATGAAAGTGACATTGTAGAAAAAAAATCTTTTTAACTAATGGCTTATAAAAACCGAATGTACTCATTAGATAATTTATATTTAAACTCTCACTGGAAACTAGAAAAATAGTCTGAAATATAGATAAAAAGTAAACAAAAAAAATCCTTAATAAAGAACCTTCATTTGTCTTTAACCAAACTTTTTGTGTGCATACATCCACGCATATATATATATATATATATATATATATATATATATATATATATATATATATACAAATGCACTAAATTTTAGACATTGATGTATTAAATATCAGTAAGCTTATTAAAGTATTGAATTTTCTTTATCTCCAACATCTTCATTTCAAACTCCTTTTATCATAGACATTGCCAAATACTTTTATCTTTTGGTTGCCAAAATGGATTGTTATGATAACTTGTTCTTCTGAGGCTTGAGGCACCAAAACTTCAAGTCAGACCTTTCAAAGATAAAACAGATATCATGTAAGAATATCTGTATACATAAATCCTGTCGTGTTTTCAAGTTGATAAAGATTTCAGGATAGCCTACTGTGATCTGAGTGCTACTTAAGGCTGTGTAATAAACAAAAAATGCCTCATTTTTATTTTATTTATTATATTTTCTTATACTTATTAGGCTTCTTCACTATCTTTGGTGACTATCCAAGATTTATCTTCAAGTCTAGATTATATGTGCACATTTACAATTATCAACTGTAGAGTTTTAGGTTCTTCTAATCTCTTTATTTTTGATTGGTGGATCATTTATAAATATTCAGTCATTATATATATATATATATATATATATATATTTAAAATTTCTTTGTGGCAAGATGTTAAATTACTTGAAGGAATTATATCCAAAAACAAAATAATTTTGAACCATCAATAAAAGCACTTAGATGAAAATGAGAGAAATTAATTAAAAATTCTTAGACGTATTTACATGGTCTTCAGTCAAATCTGCATAAAAGAGTTTGCTACCAAAATACACACAAACATATATATATATATATATATATATATATATATATATTATAAATTAATTGATTTAAAATATGTTTTTTTTTCGCTACACAGTTCCAACCATGTTCCAAAAATAGAAGCTAAAAACCCCGAATTTAATTTTGCAATTAAATTAAAAGCATTAGTTCCATTTCATCTTCAAGTGAATTTTCTATCTATAAGAACACCGGATTTTATATCTTACTGTTCTTTCTTTTTATTTATATACATACATATATATATATATATATATATATATATATATATATATAATGTGTGTGTTGGCTCTTGTCAAGGGTGACAGTTTGTGCAACAGTTTCTTAGTTCTATCTGACTGAGTTCTAGTTATGGGCAAATTGGTTTCTGCAAGTGCCCACTTGTCCACTATCTCCTCTGTCAACTATAGTGGAGATGAGGCATTTTTGTCAAACAAGCTAATGTTGGGGCAAAATGCAAGAATATGGCATTAGTGTTAAGTGAACATAAGCTTTTATAATATATATGTATGTATGTGTATGTGTGTGTGTGTGTATATATACATACACACACACACACACTTGTATAAATATATAAAAAAAAAAAATAAGTATTTCTTTTTTTTTTTTTTTACACTTTGAACTTGTTTTTTATCTTTTCTCTTCTCCCAAATTATGTCTCCTACCCCCTTAATAATATAAATGCTGTAGTAGTAGCTCTCGCTGCAAGCTGTATATTTATATTTGTCTTACCAATGCAAGCCCAATGACTATTTAAGAAGCAACCTCAAGGAGACAGTTTATATCAGTAGTTTTTCCAACCTTCCTTTCTCCTTTTTGTCATCATATACTGTGGAGATGGGTGTTGCTTGTATCCTGTTTCAGGACTCTTTTATAGACAATGATCTGATGTTTCATTTCATCAAATATGTATTTCCTTCCAGCTTTTCGAAATGATGCCAAGTGCCAGATGTCCTCATAATCAAATGAGGAAATAGAGGAAAAAAACAAAATTTGCAGGTCATCAAGAGAAGGGTGGTTGATTCTATTGGTCACTACCATATCTTCCCCATCCTATCACCCATGAACCAGATGCAACAAAGATAAGTTGCTTGCATCTGGTACCAAATGGGGGGAGATGTGTGTTGGGGGTAGCTGGGAGTACAAGGTGATATCATTGCATTACTTTTTGTGGAATCAGTTCCGTTTTTTTTTTTGGGGGGGGTTGTTATCAGTTTTCCAACTTTATTTGAAATATCCCAGAAGTCACAGTCTATACTTATTATTAGACATATAAACTGTAGACAAGTCAGTATTTTAGGCTCGTAGGTATTAAATTATGCTATATATCATGTTAAAAAAATATTTATTCACCAATTGTCCAGAATCATCATATCAGAGTTCAAACATTGAATAATTCAGTTTTTTTTCACAAATTTGGTACTGTTTTAAATAGCTGAACAGCATTAAATGTGGAGGTTTAGCAAATACATTTTAAATTTGATGTTTACTGCCATGTGCGATATGCATTTATCATGTGGTACATTGATTATTGTCTATGATACATATATCCTTCTATTCCAGTCTTATTTAGGCTTATGACCATATCGCATTGCAACACCAGCTATTTTATGATCACTGAGGCAACTTTGAACCTTGTCAGTACCTAGATGGATAACCATTTGGGAATACCAGGTGCTATAAGCTTGGATTGCATGTAGTGTAATGGATAATGGCTCACAATTGGAAATCAGAGAACCAAGTTCCAATTCTAGCCAGGTTCATTATGTTCACTTGCATACAAATACCTTTGGGAATGGTATGAATCCATTTATTCTCCCCACCAACTATGAGCTAATTAGTAGGACTTGTATCAGTAAATCATTATTATTTACAAAAATTCTTACAATCTAAAAATATTTTCTGGCTTTAAATAACCTGCAAAAGGTTTATAAGCCATAAAAAACAATCCATCTATCCAGTTTTATTTATGACTAGCAGTAGAGCCTGGCATTGCCTGGGGATGTAACAGTAAGAGATAGATCAAGTATCAACCATCATAAAGACTGAAAAATAAAATTTACAAAGATTATTGTATAAGGTTGATGGACACGCATGTCTTACTTAGTTTTTTTTTTTTGTTTTGCTTTTATTTTTTTTCTTTATGAATTGGTCAAACTCAAACATTGTTTTCAATCATTATGAGTCTACTGATTGAATAGAATTTTATTATAAACAATTCTTATAAATGGAATTTTTAAAGCATTCTGAATGTAAAAATAAAGAAAAAGTGTACAAGACAATAAGAAACACTACCTGTCAAAAAAGGTGAAGTTTTGTTGAAATCTGTTGAAAAATGTAAGAAATCCGATCCCATATATAAATGCACACACACACACACACACACACAACCCTGGGTTTTATAATAAGTATA